AGAAAGTTAGTCAATATCACACGAAGAGTGCCAGTTTTCACCTCTAAAATCAGCATGATTACAAATGTGATACTGATTTTACGCAACAATTCAATAAACAAGAAGTTAATATTAAGAGATGTACGTTTTAGACACTATATTGCCTGTTTTTGCTTTATTTCGCCAACAAAATAATTCCAAACACAGCCACAGCGCTGTTTTGTGTCTCTGAGCAACACGGCGGTGTCTCGTTCCTGAATGAATCAACCGTTTAAATGACTCGGTTCAATCGCAATGACTCACTTATGAACAGTGAATTGCTGCCACCTACTGGGGGTTTTAATTTCACATTTAAAGTATCTTTTCGTTTTTAAAATAATTGTAAATATCAGTATTCAATGTTTCATGTTTAAAATAAAATATTATTTATGCATTTGTAACTGCAGGTTAAATGCATTCATGTCCCTCTGAGCTGAATTAAATCGTGTCAATAGGCTTACATCTAAATGCCTCTTCAGCTGCAGCTTCTGTGTTTCCTCTGCATTGCAAAGATGAATTTTGTTGATACTGATATCATTTGTTTGGTAACAGCCCAAATGTCTTATTATTCTAATTGACTGATTAAATGTAAAAATTTGACTCAAAAGATAATGCACACGTTTAGAAAAAAAGGCTTTATAAATGTAAAAATGCCCATAAAATGTAAAAATCAATTTAAACTTATTGGAACAGATTAATTTCTATTCACTGCTGTGAACTGACCCGCACACAGAATATGAAGGATATCAAAAACAAGTTTCACACACACACACACACACACACACACACACACAAGTACGTCAAGGGACATTTAAGAGTGTTTATTCTCCAAATAACTCTAATTTCATGTTGCAGAAAAAAAAAGTGTTTAAAAATTGTGTATGGTCTCTTGTTCCAAGTTACCTTCCTCTCCACTGATTTTTGCCTCTCACAAAAGCCACAAAGCCTTCCAAGACGACAGTAAAGGCTCATGTCATGCTTGAGCTTTATTTAGGCTGAAACTTGAAAGTTAAGTTGCACGACAAATGCAATGTTTAGGTATTATTATTTTTTTACTAATATTTAGATTTATGCCTTAGTTTTAGTTTGTAATGTTTACCTTTTTTAAAGTAATGTGAAATTGATTTTTGTAGTTTTTTTTAATTGATATATTTGTATTTGCATTTTGAATGTAATTTGGCAATTAAATGCATTAAATGGGTTTAGTTTTCACGGTTATTAATGCATGCAATTTCAGCAATAAAAATGCACATTTTTCTAAAAAGAAAACAAATTAGTTGTTTATTTTAAGAGACCTATCTTATTATCTCTTGTATATTTAGTATTGCTCTTTAATAAAGAAAAATTACGTCTTATGCGATTAATCAACGGAATAATCGATAGAATACGCGACTACTAAAATAATCGATAGCTGCAGCCCTACTTCAGACGCACAAACCTCGCTGAGGCTCACTGGGTGTTTTTTCTCTCTTCTGTTTAGTGTGGCTGGTGCATCCGGAGCAAAGCGCAGCTGTGTGTAAGACATCCCGCCGCAGGAAAATAGCAGCGCAGATGGGCCTGCCCTACAATCAGAGCCGAGACGAGCAGTACACTACTGTTAAACCTGCTAGCACACAACCAAGACCTACTGCTCGCCCAAAACAAAACCATTTAGTGTTACCAAACATGATCAATTCAGTGCAACAAACAAAAATCACGGAGAATCTGGAGGCTGAAGATGCATTTTGAGGCTGTAGAAACCAAAAACTGTTATACTTGTCGTAAATATCAAACCAAACGGTAACACTTCAGCATAGGGACCAATTCTCACTATTAACTGGTTGCTTATTAGCATGCCTGTTATTATTTTATTAGTACTTATAAAGCACATATTCTGCATGACCATATTCTACATCCCTAAACTTCACAACTACCGCACTAACTATTAATAAGCAGCAAATAAGGAGTTAATCGAGGCAAAAGTCGTAGTTAATAGTTTGTTAATGGCGAGACTTGGACTTTAAATTAAAGCATGACCAGTCATAACACCCGTCATTTTCCACCAAGAACACGGTTGAATAAGTGAATGAAGCTCTTCATATGAAAACATTGGCAGTGCAGGTTTGTGTGCCGTCATTATGTTTCCCAAACAGAATATGCTTGTCTAAACACGAACCACTATTAAGCATGTTTATTAATAGCTAATGGCACATTTAAAACCCAAACTGTGGTTATGAATTATGCAAATGTATAACACCAACCACCCTTTTCTGAACCCATAATGCCAAGCACTGATTTATCATCCACCAATCTTAAACTAAACAAGCCTTAACTTACTCTCGCCCTCGATTTTATCCGTTCCTCTGGTCCAGATAATCTGCCTGGTCTCCAGCTTGACTTGAAACGTCCTTCTCTCGGGCCTCTGGGACTTTTTGGAGTAAAAGAGCGTCAGTACAGTGCCCAGCTCCAGATCCCGGTACAGATTGTTCACCTCGGTGTCGCTCAGCGTCCAGGGTACAGGTCCGTTGGAGGAGAAGCCCGCGGTCGCAGCCATTTCCCCTGTTTGTTCTTCAGTTCCTTTCCCAATAACTCACAGCCTCCCCGGCCTGGCGAGGACACCTACGAAAATAAGGAAGAAAAGGGCATTAGAAACATTACAAAACACCACTATGAAATATTAGCAGCGTATGCAGCATTTACATCAGTTATGAAAAAACACAGAGGCCTGCTGTAAGATGCATCCACATGTGTCCATTTAACTTGGACTTAGTGGCCTTTTTGGTGGTTATAAAGGCAGATTATACATTACAGAAATGTCATATGGTGAATGTCTGATATGTATTGGCAATCAACGCATGAAATGCATGGATTATTATTATTAATATAACATATAAATGAACAACACAGACCATAAGAATCATTCATTTTAATGTATAGCGTAATCTGAGTGCGTGTAAACATTAAATAGAGCTGATCTAATAATATTTAGTTGAATACAATCAATAAGATCACTTTATACGGATGCAAGCAAACAAACAAAAAATCACTGATGCTTATTCATAATGATACTATTAAATACTACACATTTCTAAATTGTTTCAACACACCGATCAGATTTGAGATGCAACAGAAAGATCTGAGCGTGTATATTGTTGTTGATGATGATGATAATAATAACAGGTTTGTTTAGTCTTACCGAGTATGGATGCAGCTGGCTCTCTGGGACTCAGTAAAAGCAGAAACACAACGTCCAGTCTGTCCTCGCTCTCAGCAGCGCTCATGTCGTCCTGGGCTCCTGATCAGACGCGGGTTTGGCGGATCCGAGCGGCGGCGGTGTGAGGTCTGCTCTCCGCCATGAGTGCAAGAGTAAAAGAGCCAGAGCCAGAGCCCTTCCCCCATCAGCCGATCCCTGCAACGCGCAGCGAAGCTCGGCCTCTTAAAGACACAGCGCCGCTCTCCAGACACCGCTGGAGCAGTGTGGACTGTGTACGCTTCTGTGCTAAGTGTGTGAAATAGTATGCATTATGGCTGTTTGGAATAGTACACTGCATACTATGCTTACTATTGCTGACAGTGTGTATATTACCATGTAATTTTCTGTATGAATTGGACACAGGTGACCTAGGCAACATTAGTGTACTGCTTACTATATGTGCACTGCCTACTATTTTGTTTGAAAAGTATGTGAAACACTATTTAGTGTGGTTGTGATCAGAATGGAATACTAGTTGCTAATTGCTCAGTATGCACTGTGTACTGCACACTATTTATTAAAGCGTGTTAAATAGTATGCATTATTGCTGTTTAGAATTGCATACTACAATACTATACTTGCTATTGTTGACTGTGTATATTACACACAGTATTTTAATTTTATGTATGAATTGGACACTCAGGGTGACCTAGGCAACATTTGGGATACATTACTAGTGTACTGCTTACTATATACTGCACAGTGTGCACTGTGTACTGCCTACTATTTTTTGTACAAAGTATGTGAAACTATTTAGTGTAGTTCTGTTCAGAATGGAATGTTAGCTGCTTATTGTTCACTATGCACTGTGTACTGTATACTATTTATTAAAGTGTGTTAAATAGTATGCCTTATGGCTGTTTAGAATAGCATACTACAAAACTGTACTTGCTATTGTTGACAGTGTGTATATTATACACAGTATTTGAATTTTCTGTATGAATGGGACACATAGGTGACCTAGACAACATTTGGAATACATTACTAGTGTAATACGTTAGTGTACTGCTTACTATATGTGTACTGCCTACTATTTCATGTAAAACTAATGTGAAACACTATTCTCCGTGGTTATGTTCAGAATGGAATATTAGTTGCTTACTGTTTAGTATATACTGTGTAATGCACACTATTTCTTAAAGTGTGTGAAATAATACACATTATGGCTGTTTTGAATAGCATACTACAATAATACCATACTTATGCCTGCTGCAAAATATAGTGTGTATATTATACACAGTGTTTAAATTTTCTGTCTGAACTGGATACTCAGGTGACCTAGGCTGTTTGGAATACATTACTATTGTACTGCTTACTCTATACAACACAGTATGCACTGTATACTGCCTACTATTTTGAACAAAAAGTATGTGAAAATGTTCAGTATGGCTATGTTCAGAATGGAATACTGGTTGATTATTGTTGTGTGTACTATGTACTGCACAGTATTTCTTAAAGTGTTAAATAGTATGCATTATGGTTCTTTGGAATAGTATTGTACTACAATACCAGAATTACTATGGCTGCAATATATAGTGTGTTTATTAAAAAAAAGAGTGTTGAAAAAGGGTTTAGTGTGGTTATGTTCAGAATAGAATACTATTTGCTTATCATTCAATATGTACTGTGTACTGGATACACAGGTGACCTAGACTATTACGTCTGAAATCACATACTCTCTAGTAGATACTACATATAGTTTGAAACTTATTTCAGAGAATGAAATCTGGACGTGCTACACCCGCCATGCTGTTGTAACGAATCAGCTCATGGGAAATATGAATAATTAATCAT